ATTGGAGCCCCAAAGCCCATCTGTAGATAATTGGACATTCCCTCACAGAAGGGTTATAAGGAAAGAATGAGAGGGTACAGCATAGCACCGATGGAACACACAACATTCCTCTAGTTTTTTAATGCTTAATGCCCCCCACTATCATGACCCCAGTTCTACCTTACAAATCCAGCTAGATTGGCACATGTACACTGGTTCAGATAAGAGCTCTTGACAAATGGAATCCAGGACAGATAAACCCCTCAGGAACAGCAATGGGAGTAGCGATACCATGAGGGTAGGGGGAAGGTGGGGGAAGAAGCAGGAAAGCAGGAACCTACTACAATGACAATAATCCTCCCACCACACCAGGGGAAGGAACAAGAGTAATGTGGGTGAAGGGAAACAGTGGGTGATGTGAAATATGAAAATAATTTATACTTTATCAGGGGTCCATGAGGGTGAGAGGTGGGGGAGGGAAGGAAAAATGAGGAGCTGATGCCAAGGGCTCAAACAGAAAGAAAATATTTAGCAAATGATAATGGCAACATATGTACAAATGTGCTTGATACAATTGATGTATGGATTGTTATAAGAGCTGTAAGAGCCCCCATGATTTATTAAAATGATTTATTAAAATAAAATCTATATTATTTTCTTATAAAAGAAAAAAGTTATTGTTACAAAATCATAAAAACCTTTGCTAAACAAAAAATATCAAATAGGAAGATATCCTATCTCAACCTATCCTCCACCTAGATCTATACATCTCTGAAGGTGGTGTTTCCATCTCTTTAACAATTTCCCCATGAATTCTGTGCTGTTCAGTTGACACCACACCAAAACATGTGAGGAATCCTCAAGGAACTCGAATCATGTTCCTGGCAAATGTTGAGTTTAGGGAACAAAGAGAAGTCTGAAGGAGGCCAAGTCAAGGGTACAAGGTATGCTTTCCCAGTGATATAGTAGGATAATCCTTGCTAGCCTTAAAGCAGCGGTTGTCAACCTGTGAGTCTCAACCCCTTTGGGGTTCAAGTGGCTCTTTCATAGAGTCACCCAATTCATAACAGTAGCAAAATTACACTTATGAGTTATCAACAAATAAATTTATGGTTGGGGGCGTGGGGCACCACAACATGAGGAACTGTATTAAAGGGTCGAGGCATTAGGAAAGTTGAGAACCACTGCCTTAAAGGATAAGCAGCTTCATTGTCATGATGAAAAAATAGTCCTGATTTTGAGAATGATGATAGTGAGGTAGTTAGTTTATTGTGCCAACCTGGTCGATAAACGCCTGGGGTTAATTGAAGGGCAGAGGGATAAATGGCTCAGTGAACCTCACCTTTCTAGTTCTCGGGTCTCTTGTTTCTGATGGTTGGACCAGGGTGCAGCTGCTTTAGCCAGTTCCCTGCTTCAGTTGACAAGGCTCACTTCCTGCAAGACATCCCTGAG